TAATTTGTTGAAGGCGAAGTAAATCATCAGCCCCTGTTAACATATCATCAACATAAAAATCGTCTTTTATTATTGATTTTCCAAGCTCATGGTTACCAGGATATGTATCGACTGCATAGGATAAACTACGTATAGCTAGAAATGGAGCAGCAGCAGTTCCGTAAGTCACTATATTTAACATGTATGTTGATACGGGTAACGACTTGTCATTGCGCCAAAAAATTAACTGATAATTCCTATCCTGATGATGTACCATAATCTGACGATACATTTTCGTTATGTCCGCCATAAGTCCATATTTATGGCAAGGAAAACGTAGCAGATTAATGAGTAATTCATTTTGTATGGTAGGACCCACTGCAAGGATGTCATTTAGTGAGACCTGTGATGCCGTTTTGAAAGAAGCATCGAACACCACGCGTAACTTAGTTGATTCACTACTTGACTTCAGCACGCAGTGATGCGGAATATAATAATGAGGTATTGATAAATTTGGACTATGAATCAATGACATATGTCCCAATTCTTCGTATTCTTTCATGAATTTTGAATATTCTTCTTTGAGCTGAATATTCTTTTCAAGCTTTTTTTCCAAAGCATAAAATCGACGTAACGCAATATCTTTGGAGTTACCTAATAAATCTGTACTATTTTTAAATGGTAGTTTTACCATAATTCTTCCATCACAGTTTACAGATACATTATCAATGAAATGTTGTTCACACATGATTTGTTCCTCTGACCATTTCTGACGTTTATTAGAGACGTCTTCTAGTTGCCACATTTTTTCAATATTTTTGTTCAAAGCTTCGATTGAAGTGATGGTGCAATGACTGACTGCTTCAATCGGTTTATGTGACAAAGCATACCTTCCGGATACAATCCAACCAAATTCAGTATTTTGTAAAATTGGTAAGTTTTTACCCAAAGACAATCGACCTTGCGTTAACAACAAAAAGAAAGCTTCTGCTCCAAGTAACATATCAATACCTTTAGGGACATTAAATTCTGGATCTGCAAGTTCCATATGTGATGGAATATTTAAATCTTTCAACGAAAATGCTTTATCTGGATGATAGCTACTAATGTTCTTTGAAATGAGAAAATCTAGTGATGTTTCAAACTCGGTTATCCGAGATCGAATTGTAGTTTGCGTATTATGTTGAATTTTCAGCACAGAAGAACCAACACCAACGATATCTATTTCAGATCTCGACCTTTTTAAGTTTAGAGCCCGTGCTAGAGAATCGGTAATGAAATTCACTTGCGAACATGAATCTAAAAGCGCTCGGCCCATTTGGTACGTTCCGGTAGAATCTTTTATGAGAATTAGAGCTGTTGCTAAAATAATGGTACTATTTGTCTTCTTAACACTCTTTTGTGAAGTAGCATGTGTAACTGGATTACTAAGTTGATCATTTCTTGATGATGAAATGTTAGAATTTACAAACGTATTTAAATCATGTTTGTGGAGCAACGTATGATGACGTTGTTTACAAAATCGACAAGAATATTTTGAGCTACATTGTGATACAGTGTGGAGGTTTGATAAACAATTGAAACACAATTGGTGCTGTTGTACTTGATCACGACGTTGTTCTAATGGAAGTGCGATGAAATTGATACAAGTAGAAATATTATGACCTAATTTGGAACAATATGTACACGACCTTTCAGGAATATTTTTGATCGCAAATGAATACTGCTTTGGCTTGCTAACCTTTTGTAATGAATGCGGCTGATAAGTTTGAATTGATTGCGGTTTCACACTATGCCTCGTTTGAGCATCGAGTTGTTGGCATCGCTTATCAAGCATAGCACAACATTGTTTCCAAGATGGAAGATTAGAGTAATCTAAATATTCATCCCATTTCTTTTTAGTTTCTTGATCAACTTTGGTAATTGTAAGATGTATGATAATTGCATCACAAATTTTTTCAAAACTTCCAAGTGATTGTAACGAATTGTACAAAGCTGAGATAGTATCAGTGATATGTCTAAGTTGTTTAGAATCAGCCTTAGAAATTTTATCCACTTCGAAAATAGATGAAATGTTTTCTAAAAAAAATGATTGTATCATTGTCATACCGCTCTTTCAATCTGTCTAGTGTTTTGCCATAGTTTTCTTCAGTTACTTGGAACGACTTAATTGTTGACAAAGCTTCGCCGGATAGGCACGATAACAGATGGTTGAACTTCTCAATAGGTGGAATGAATTGATCGCTGTGAACTAGATTCGTGAAAGAGTTTATGAAATTTTTATATTCGAGATATTTGCCATCAAATCTCGGCAAACGTAATTTAGGCAAACGATTGTACTGCATTTGAGGCATTGAAAATGTATGTTCATGTGATTGTGAGCTTCTTCTGTTGCCGAGAAGATTTAGAATACGTGATTTTACTATGACATATAGTTCGTCAATTTCCGAGCGACATGTATCTTGTGGTAACAAACGTTCAATTTGACCTTGATAATACGATGCTTGTTTATAATACGATTCGACCATACCTAACCTGCACTCAAGTTCAGTAGGAGACAAATTATTTGACGCATCAATAATGTTCTTAATTCGTGTAAGGCTCCCCTTTGAAGACGCACGTTGCTGTCTAAGCTCATCTATATTTGGAACAGGATTAGAAACATTATTATTTGAGGCATTACCTTGACTACCGGTATTTGATGATAAAGATGGTTCAGACATTATTACAGCAAATGAAAATTATCCACGTAACAGTTCTGTGATCACTTGCTCACGTTTAACGAAAAAACACCAACAATGCACGAAATCCGTATGTAAGGTTTCAGTGCACGTTTGTCAACGTTTATGCAAAACGGTGTCCTGTCACGGTCGCCAATGTAAAAAAGAGTGAATTGTAAAGTATTCCTAGTTTATGATCAAACCTTAAATACTGAGCTCTTGCACCAATTCACCTCCTTTTTTTACCCACGGTTCGAATGGGTTTGTTAAAATTGAAAAATAAATTAAAAAATCGACAATTGATAATTCGTTAAGCACGTGAACGCACGAACCATAATTTTATTTTCTTCGTATATAAAAAAAAAACCACAACAGCAATGTAAAAACAGGTTTTTAAAAACAAAACAAATGTTACAAATAAATTGTTACAATTGATTATTCTATCGTGATACAGAACATTTGTTACACTTGATTGATCTCTAATTTAAAAAATAACATTAGTTAATATTAATACATATAAAAAAGAAAAATATTATGATGCCATGTTGGCTTAACAATGGGTTCTAAGCAATCGAACATCCGATTTACCAATCTGAATTTTCTCTGATAGCCAAGCTGCCATCAGATCACTGATTGGCACCTCAGCCACATCAATTACAACTCAAGACTGCCGTGCCTCACTAGGGTGGCTCACGTTATAAGGAGGAAAATTAAAAATGAAGTTTTGAATGAGCGCACCCCCTAGGAATATGCTATTGACCTTAAAAATGATATTCCCAAAGTTTTGGAGCAATAGGACTAAAAATGACGTTGCGCCACTCGAGCAAAGTTGGGTTTTCAGTACAAAAAACAGAAATTTTTCAGTTCAAGGTCATTTTTTATCTTTGTTACTTGTTTCAACAGTTATTAATATATACTCATTTGACAGATAATTAAAATATCTTTTTAATAAGATACTGATGAGCAAAATCGGTTAAAAATTATGCGCAAAACACAATAATGAGTTGAGCGACTGTGCTTTGTTTTCTATTTCATAACATTTAGCTGGCATGCACAATTACGTAATAGGTAAATGCTACGATTTAGTTAATTATTTATAAAAAATTATAATTTCAAGAAAACTTTTTTTTTCAGTAATTAATATATTGTGTTTATTATGTTTTATAACATAAATCTGACTATGTGAAGGATAATTTTTATGGTTCGACTACTTGCAGAACATATTGTTTTTCCTCTTCATATTTTTTCAAAATAGAATTATAATCCATCATAAGAATAATTCCTCTTTCTATACAATCATTTATCATATAAAGTCTGGCACAGAATTCAAGTGCATCTCTATAATCTTGCGTCTTCATCCATGGCGAAGGATCGAAACTGGTAAAACTATTAGATAGGCAAAAAGGATCCAAAAAATTTGTTATTTCTTCGGTCACGAAATCAATAAGGTTCTTTGAGGAAAATAACTTCATTAGTGGGTTCCCACTCTTTATCTAACCAGAGATAGCTGAGAGCTTGGATCTATGACCGGTAACTCTACAGTTAATATCTATGCAGATGGCTCAAAGACGGAAAGCGGTACGAAAGCAGGTATCTTCTCGAAAGATATGCAGATAAGACAGTGCTACCGAATCCCTGCTATTTACAGCGTCTTTCACGGCGAGATATATGCTATCGAAAAAGAGGTCAACATTAGACAATAAAGTATAATTCGTCCTTCGAATATCACTATTTTTGTAGATAGGCCGCACTGAAAGCAATTGAATCTAAATTCCAAGACAGTATTAAAATGTCGCGATTCACTGATGAGCATCAAACATCATAAGGTCTCTCTTTGCTGGACATAATACATTTCGAATACTTGGACATAGCAATATTGAAGGGAATGAACTAGCAGATGAGATGGCCAGAAGAGGTTCTGAACTGCATACAGGAGAAGCCGACCTCTCAATACATACACCGATATGTAAACTGTATAGGATAATAGAGGAAATCAATACGGTGACTAACAATTTATAAACTAACCGCGAAGACTGTAAGGTCGCTAGAATCTTATGGCCTAAGTTGGACAAAAATAAAACGAAAAGGCTTTTAGGTTTCAGCAAACTTGCAGTTCGTGTGCTTTCTGGAGTACTAAAGGGGCACTATGCCATTCCGCCGATGCTCCAAAGGTGGCGAGTTCCAATAAGTGGATTATGCAGGAGTTGCTAAGATGAAGAGGAGGTAAAATCTATCAACCACTTCCTACGTTTCTGTCAAGGACTTCAAACACCTGGGCGCCACAGGTAACCAGGTAACTACTACAAAATATGTATAGCGTAGCGATCCGAAACCTTGCATTTGTCAAGGGCGGAAACTAAACTAGGAGTGATAAATTGAATCGTTCTGTCTACGTTATCCCAATATTGTTGAACTGTGACCAAAGATTCAGCTTCCATTTTGAGACAATTTCTTCATCGAATTTATTCCAATTAAAATCAATGGAATTTTTAGCCGCTCTTGCTTCGTTTGCTAAAAGGATATTAACTTCAGTCATACGACCATTTTCTCTTTGCTTACGAAAAAATTCTTGTTTTGACTACATTTTCAATTCTACTTAAATATCTATATAAATTATTAAGTAGAAATGTATTATTTTTATTTTTTTATTTATGTTTCTTCCGTTTCTTGTAAACATTTGCGATTGCATTGTGCCTGCCATCTAAAAGGTATGAAATAGAAAACAGAGCACAGTCGCTCAACTAATTATTGTGTTTTGCGCATAATTTTTAACCGATTTTGCTCATCAGTATCTTATTAAAAAGATATTTTAATTATCTATCAAATGAGTATATATTAATAACTGTTAAAATAAGATAAAATATAAAAAATGACCTTGAAATGAAAAATTTCTGTTTTTTGTACTGAAAACCCAACTTTGCTCGAGTGGCGCAACGTCATTTTTAATCCTATTGTTCCAAAACTTTGGGAATATCATTTTTAAGGTCAATGGCATATTCCTAGGGGGTGCGCTCATTAAAAATCGCATTTTAGTTTTTCTGAGCCACCCTAGTGCCTCACTAAATGACCTAGCTAGGTTTGTTAGGGTCAAACTTAATTGGCTTCCTGGTCACAGGGATATCACAGGAAATTGTAGGGCAGACGACCTAGACAAGGCAGGTGCTCTTCTCCCCAACATTAACCTCTCTGATATAGGCGTTCCACTTGCTACAGTTAAACTGGTAATCATACAAATATATCTGAGCATAGCCAGGCAATACTGGGCTGACGAACCTCAATGTCAGATTTCTAGGTTGACTTGGCCGAACTTAGACAAGAAAAGACAAGAAAAGCTACTTCAACTAAGACGGAACCTGCTCAGCACTACGGTATCTGTGCTGACGGGACACTGCGTAATAGGAAGGCACGCTATGAGACTGGGTCTCCCTTTTAATGACTTTTGTCGAGGTTGTGGCTCTGAGGATGAGGAGGAGACTGTAGTCCAACTCATGTGTCAATGCCCTTCCCTATCCAGAAGAAGATTTAGAACCCTTGGATCTCCATTTCTAACTAACCTGACTGAGTTGTCATCCTGTAATGTTAGGAACCTAGCTAAGTTCATAGAACTGTCAGGTTGGTTTTCCTTTACCTGATAGCGGAGTCGTTATCTTTCTTTCGACGTTGAATGTATACTGATTACAATCTTTATACAAATCAACGTAACTCCTGTGGTACTACAATGGGCCATTATTTGTGCTTAAGTGGGCTTTTTGGGATACAAGGCCGCCACTCCAACCAACCAAGTCACTTCACAAAAGACTGACCATTAGGCAAATTCTTAAAATGCATCAAGAAACATAATACCTTACTGCATTTTGAAAGTACGTTTGAAATATATATGATTAAAAAGATATCCATCCCAAAAAATTCTGCTTCTCTGTCCTCTAACAATCACAATATCAAAAAAAATTATGTTGTATTAGGAACTGCACGTGTAGTCCTTAAAAGCAACAATGAAAAAGAAATTGAATGCAGAGCATTGCTCAATTCTGGCTTACAAGTTAACCTAATAACTGATAGAATAATCAAGAAATTAGGAGAAACCCCGAAAAATACCTCAGCATGTATAGAAGGTGTGGGACAAAAGAAACAAGATGCACAACAACGAATTAATTCAGCTTTCTCGTCCGGAATCAGCGGATACACAAGCATAGTAGAGGCCTATGTACTACCTAAGATTTTGTACGATTAGCCTAGTATTCAAATTGAAAGCTCAACCTGGAAGATTCCACAAAATATTATACTGGCAGATCCGTCATTCAACAATCCGAGCAAAATCGATATTTTACTTGAAGCCGAGTTTTCCCATCAGTTATTGTGAATCGACCAAATATAACTTCGTAATGGTCTCCCCATATTACAGAACACAATGCTTGGATGCCTTGTTGTAGGGAAATAACCAATCATTATTCAAATTCTTCACCACAAATTTGTGGTATATACTCTGAGGATAAGCAATTAGCTGGGAATTAGATGTACCAGAAAAAGCAAACAAAAATCTAATTTAAAAAATCAGAAGAATTGTGCGAGTCCCATTTTGCAACTTACATGAAAAGGAACCAAGACGGTCGGTTGAGAGTCAGACTACCGTTTGTACAAGACCCATCGATGCTTGGTGAATCAAAACAAATTGCTCATTATATCATCCCACATCATGGCGTTTTCCGACCCGAAAGCAGCACCATGAAATTGAGAGTTGTGTTTGATGCATCATACAAGCCATGTAGTGGATTATCATTAAATGATACGTGTTTACTGGTTCGACAATTCAAGATGAATTATTTGCTATTCTACTTCGATTTAGGTGAACAAGGTTTGTCTTTTGTTCTGATTATAAACATAACTGAAAACAAAGAAATTCTTTTCAATAAAAAAATTACGAAGCTCTTGAAGAAAACATAAAAAGAAAAAGTGTCATAGCATATACTAAGGGTAATACTATCAATATAAAGCTAGGTAAAATA